ATATATATATATATATATATTTCAAGACATTAAATACGAGGTTATACGAGTCATTCATATAAACCTTTTTTTCTGTTAATGTTGGTAACAGGTAGAAAAGTATGAAGGAGCATTAGTAATATATTAGTAATATATATTATTGATCATATTGATCATTATTGAGAATACATTTGGAATTTCTTCCACAGTTTTCCATCTGACTTTCTATCCCATCTTTTTAATGTCCTTAAAGTCCTCTCCACACTCTGTTTATGTGCTAAGAAATAACCTCCTTCTTACTAAAACCGATTCTGAAGTACGATCTCATTAACCCAACTACACAAGACGTTTTGCAGAGGGTAAAGCAGCCATGACAGTTTGCTTGATACAACAACTGTAACATTCAGATTTCTTTTTCTCAAAATAGAATTACAACTTTAATCTTGAAACTTCAATTTTATTCTCAAAATGATAAATAATATTTTTCTTCTTAATGTGGCCTAATACTCCATCATAGGAAAGACATTTTCCTCATTTTACTTTGAGTTATTTAACTTATTTCACAGTTAATATAAATCTTTCTTTTATAGCTTAGCTTATAACAAAGAAAACTCTAGTCTAGGTGTTGGAGTAAAAAACCTTAGTAAACAGAACCAATCAGTGCAAAGTTTAAAAAGACTGAAGAGACTGCTTAAACTTTTCTTTAGGAGTTAGATATGTCACTGTATTTCTTGGTCAGTCTTGGACACATCACCCAGTTTGGACTGGTGTGAATAAGTGACCAACGAACTAAATAAGGCCACACATTCTAAGGAGGAGAGGCCAGGGCCCCCTATAAAAACATGGAGGCTCCAGTCAACATAACATAACAACACAAATAAAATAGCCTCTACACATTTAACAGAATATTTATGCTCACAGTATTCAAGTTAAAGTTGACAGATTATATGAGTTAGGCTGTATGTTATTTAACATATATGTCATGGTTCTATTGTGAACCAAAGTCTAACGTTTTGTTAGACTTTGGTTCCACTCCACTGATTAAAATAGCTGCCTTTCGGCACCAGTTGTGGTAGAGATGCATGCTGGGAATTTTTTTATTTTTTATCTTAACTTAATCTCAGTCATTTGTGCAAAATGTCCTTTAACCTGTTGTCATCAAATATGGAGGAGCTAAGATAAGGCATATTAGAATATCTTGAAAGTAAGAAGATGAAAGACTACTCCTTCCCATTTAGTACTTTAGTTTTCGTTATATGCAGTTTTATTTTAAACTGTAAATCTGAGCATTATATATACATATGTTTTGGGAAACTATAAACAATGACCAAAAGGTAATAATAACAGTAAAAATTATAACAATTTCTTTAGTAGTTGCAGTATTAGAAGTACTCATCATTTAAACTTGTGTTTAATTTTCCTAAGACTTCTAAACTGGTCCATTGTTTGAGTTAGGTGCCTCCTTATGCAGGAATAGGTCAGTGTTAAGTGGCTATATAAAATATAACAAAAAAAGCATTTCTTTCAAAATAGTCAAGTAATACTGGACATAAATGAGCGAAAAAGGAGCCAATGTCCAAAGGAAAACTTTGAAACTTCAAAAAACCCAGTGAACCGTTGCTATTAATGTTGAAAATTTACAAGAAAGTCTAGCTCTCTCCTTGAAAAGAAAATACAAAGAAACAAGGGTGGCTCGAATGTGTTTTGAATTTCTTGTACATCAACCTCCCCAGCAGGAGGGGCTTATAGCTGTTGTACAGAAGAGCTCGCAAACAAGGTTAGGGAATAGTTTGGATTCTTTATTCATTCGCTTGATATCCATTCCATAAATTGTTATGAGGAAGTCATGAAATTATGCAAGAAAAATAACAGCATTATATTTGTCAGAGATCCTTGAATCAAGTCAGCCTCATTACATGTCATTTGCAGTTTGAGGCTAAAGACAAAACAGAAGAGATGTTTTAAAAAGTTTCCTCTCTCAATGTTCTGGTACTTAACCAGGATTCAGAAATATTTGAAATTGTTATTTATAAGCAAACCTTCTACAATCCAACTCTCTTCCAGATCAGCCAGCAAAGCTGATTAAGATTTAGCTATAACAATATGATTACTGTAGTTTAAACTTATAAAATTAATTTTTTTATTTTTCAACGAATTTAAAAAATAAAGGTGTAGAAGTATGCCTGTTATTGTCATCTCAACTGCATTTGTGTCATTTTGGACGCTATGTTAATGGCAGATGGTGGTAATCATAAATCCTGATTTATGTATGTTATTTTTAATTGGTAATGCTGTCTGACACTAGATCCACATTCACAGTTATATTTCTACATGTTGGAAACAGATGGAAAGAAAGTTTCCACAATATATGTTTTTGCCTTGTTTTCCTTTTAAATGAAAGATTTTTCAAATAAATCAACATATTTGCCAGTTAAAGCTGTGTAATGACAAACTGGAACAGTGGTCTCTGCAGGGCAGAGTCAGCAGACGTGAGCCAACAGTTCATTGTGACAGGAGAAGCAAAGCTGTAGTCAACAACCATCTCCCTACAAAAGAAAGAATAAAGAGATCATAAATCTTTGTAGAAATGGCTGGATTCTAAAGCAAAACAAAAACATAAATACAAAAAAGAAAAGAATATATACCCAGTAACGTCTGCCTCCTGGTTTTTAATCTTTAGTTTTCTGACAGGAGCTTGCTGTACCTCCTCATAAACTGCAGCCTCTACAGCTGGAAAGAGAGAGTGAAGCAACATTGAAAATCAATGCAGCAAGGACACACACACACACACACAGCTTTTCACTCACCTAAAAGTCCTTCAGCATTGTTGTCCGAGGGACGCTGTCTTAAAACTGGCCAAAGGATTTTTGGACCATTGTTCTCATGAACTATGATGACCATTCGCATGTCTCCAGTGGCAACGTCTATTTCGTTGTTGCGCACAATCACTGTTACACTGGAAAAACATGGAGTTACTCAACTTTTTTAAAAAGCTGTATAAAGCACCTGCACAGATCATGCTACTTGGATGAATTTAGCCTGCTCTGATTAAACAGCAGTGCAGTGCATAAAGTACAGGGACTTTAATGTTAGCATCTTTTGTAAAAGTGAATTTATGACAGTGAATTCATGACAAACTCTACCTCATGTCTGCCCCTGCCATTTTCATTCTGTACTTCAGTTCATGGCCTGAACAAATAATTATTTGCATCCATCAATGCATTTTCTTCCACTTATCCATGATAGGAGCTGGAGCCTATTCCTGAGAGTTGGGGTACACCCAGGATAGGTCCTCAGTCTGACACAGTGCTGGCTTGGTTTCTAATAAGTAAACTTAAGTCTGTAAATAAATATAAGTGTATGGCTGGTAGTCTACCTCAGCATAAAAAGTGAAGATCTGTATGCACTCGTCTGCCTGTATTCTTGTGCATTTGGGCTTTACTCAAATCCACTCATGTGAGAAACAATCATGTTCCTGCTTTCGCTTTCCTTTTCTGAGCCAGCTAATCTCTGTTCTGTGTGTTTTAAATCTCACAGCCTCTTATCATTTTGCTTTTCGGACTCCTTCATGTGACCCACCTCTTCCAATTGCTTTACCTCATCCACCATTCGCATGTACCCTCCTAACATTGACTCTGATCTGTTACACTATGTCTAATCACCAAATAGCTTATAATTCATACTCTTTACTTCAATGAATTACCAGTGCTTTCAAATGATCTGTCCTTACTGAAATCACATCTCATCTGCTCAATAATCAACACAAAATAAAAAACAAACTTTTTAGGGGTTTCAGCCTCAGAGATGTCAGCTAACATATATAGGTGCTGAGAGAGACAGTCTTCTCATGTAAATCTTGGTAACACAGGTGAATAAGGTCACACATCTGTGCTTATTGCTGAGAGCACGAGTCTCGACCATGATAATACAACATCACCTTCCAGCTGTAATGCGATCCTGTCCAGTGTAATATGTCACTGTCTGTCCATCTCGTACAGTGACCCAGTTGGTGTCGATCTCAACATGTTGGCTGTCTTTGACGTGTATGAAAATTCTGCTGAAGCCTCCATTTGTAACTGAATCAAGCTCACCATTTACAGACAGTTCTAGAAGAAAAGAGAAATGCTCATCTTATACCACAAACTGGAGTTTTCATATGAAAATAACAATGAGAAAGAAGAGTAACAGTTTTTATTACACTGAAAAGAAATATTAGGATGGAAAAAGCTAACACTACTGACCCCTGCTGGGATAGTGAAGAAGTTTAAGGCGGACAGGTCCACTGACATCAAAGCATAGTGGAACAGTCTGGTTCTCAGCTTTTAGCAAAAACCTGTGGAGTACAGGAACTAGAGATACAGAGGTACACATTGTTAGAACATTTTTAGTGAAATTAAATATTCACCCCAGGTTTTCTGCCCAAAATGTGCTTTATAACCCCTGAGCCAGGAATCCAAAAAATACACATTTGTTCATACATACTATGCAGAGCCTGATTTATATAACATATTATTCTTACAATTTTGTTTGCTTTTCTTTTTGTTTTATGGTTAATGAAGAGATTTGAAAAACAGCCCATGTTTGGAGTTTCCTTCCAGAAAAAAGTATGTAATTTGCTGCATATCTGAGTACATCATGGGTTGTTTGGAACTTGCAATACAAAAAAAGCAAACAAACAAAAGAAACCAAACCAAAACAATTACTATT